TTGTAACGGATATTTTTCAATCCGTGTATTGACCATTTGGCAGCCGCCTAATGCTCTTCCCACAAACATGAATGTGCTTGCTCCACAAACAAGCTAATGCTTGCTCTACCATGGAGGGTGGACGTTTGGTCTTCTTCAACACTGGCTGCTATATATATGTGCAACAGATGTTGAAGAAAGACACTCAACACACAACACACAAACTGAAATCCTGAAATCGCTCAACAGATTTGGCTATACATTGCACTCCATCCTCTCAGCATTTTCATACGATTTTCTGAGTTTCTACTCCTTCGTTCTGCATTGTTTTAACTTCAAACAAAGCAACTGTAAGTGTGATTTGCTACCGAACTTTGTGTTCGCTGAAACACTGGGGTTTGAAGTACCGCTACACCAGTGTGTGATTCGTTCTATCCTGGGAGGAAATAATCCATTACCTTGGGTACTAGGAGGGGATTAAATTCCTTAAGGAAATACTGTGAATTCAGTGGGCTCGAATTAATTACTGTTTCATTACGATAACTTTTATTTTGCAGAATTATTATTTACAAATACAACAATATTGGCGGAAATAACAAAAAGAAACTACAATCGCAAGCTAAGAAGAAAGGGGATGAGATACAAGACGAGAAGCACAGACTTGAGCCGAAGCTTAACATAATTTGCATGCCATGTATTCCCCTGGATCTCAAATATAACATCTTAGCATTCTATTTGACTGTTTAGCCATTGGGTCTCTTCTTAATTTAGCTCCAGACACAATATCAGCTTTGCTGCACACTTCTGCCTCATAATCTCGTACTAAGTCATGGGTTCACAACACCAACATTTTATTTTCTTATATAGAAGTGTACCAAAATAGCAACGAAAGATAATTCGAGATATGCCCCCAACTTTTCTAATCGTAAATGTACCAAAATAGCAACTCAAATCCAAACAAGGGCCGACAAAAGGGACCCACTTCTTTACCATTTTTCTCCAATTTAAACAAGTCGTCCAAGTTTCCACCACGTGTCTTTTCTCCTTGATTACTACTCCTACTAGCTCCTAATAATTGAAATAAGGGGATTTGTTTTTTACACTGTTACATTCTAAGTTCATCTCCGAACGAATAAAAAAAAGGAAGGTTCAAGTTTGAACAAGAAGAAGCAGTCGAAGGAGGGGAAGTTTAAAAAGAACAAAAGTATGCAGGTGATCAATGCAGTGTCAGTGGTTCGAATGGCAACGAGAGGCCTCAATTCCCTAGAGGCAGAAATAGCATTTGGGACAGTCACTTGGTTCGTCTATGCCGGGATCTCATGTTTTTTAGTTCTGTTCGCCGGAATTATGTCCGGATTGACATTAGGCCTCATGTCTTTGGGCCTCGTTGATCTCGAGATACTTCAGCGAAGTGGCACCCCCGCTGAGAAAAAGCAAGCAGGTTTTTTAATTTTATTTACTCTTAACTTATTGATGAACTTGTCACCTTTTTAATCAGTGTACCTAATTTTTTAGCAGAATATTTATGTTGCTAACTGATTCTGATTCTGTTTCACAATGCTATTATCCATTGGATTCAGTAAATTTTGTCGGTTCTCTGTTAAAATTTAGTCCACGATTGAGTCCTGTTACTCATAATAAAGTGATTTGAAATTATTAATAAGAACTACTCTGCACATTGTGATTTGCTCATTGAATGGAACATCAAGTCGAGTAAGGTGATAATTTCCTGCATACAGTATCAACATTATTCCTGCATATAACTATATTTAATCTAAGGTATCTTGTGATTAGATATAAATGCAGAAATAGCCTAAAGTTAATCAGTTCTGAATTACAGTTTCATTCTTGGGGAGAATCCTTATCAGTGCATAACCTCTACTTCTAATGGAATGTTCACTTTTTCAGCTACAATACTTCCCGTTGTTCAGAAGCAACACCAGCTTCTTGTGACCCTACTTCTATGTAATGCCGCTGCCATGGAGGTAACAACTGAACTTGGCTTCTTGATTTACTTTAGGATGTCTTTACTAAAACTCTATAACATGTGATTGCAAAGCATGCAGAGTACGTGTTTTTTCTTTTTTTTGGGNAGGTACATAGTGAGAGTCGGAAAGAGCGACAAATACCAAAGAGAAACTTTACTTGCATAGTTGGTATCTGCAGTAAAAGTATTTAGGTTTGAACAAATTTTTGGAACTTATGTAGCTTTTCTACCACAGAGTGTTGCAAATACTGTTTAGAGATTAGATCTTTATTCGAGACAAATTGATGCTTAAAAACATTTAAAAGGGGGTGGAGTGTCGGGAGAGAGAGACACAACTCAATTTAGCGACATGGGTAAATTGAACTAATGAATCCAAAAAATACTAAGGCAAATTAAGACTCCGTTTGCCTAGATTAAATAAGAAGAAATTATTATGATTTATGGAATTTACTTAGTTCAAGACACATATTGTGGTTGAGGAGGATGCTGATCTTTGCTTCTTTTCCAATCATGCAATTTCTAGGCCCTACCCATATACCTCGACAAAATGTTCAACCAATATGTGGCCATTATACTATCAGTAACTTTTGTCTTGGTGTTTGGAGAGGTAAATTGAACCACTTGAATTCAATTAAGATCTCAACATTTAAGACCTAGCATGCTGAACTTATTTTCCTCTTATTTTGGTTTTGCAGGTTATTCCTCAAGCAATATGTACCAGGTATGGACTTGCGGTGGGTGCAAACTTTGTTTGGCTTGTTCGTGTTCTGATGGTCATATGCTACCCAATTGCATACCCCATAGGGAAGGTGATTATTGCAGTTTTGAATTAATTGTTTCAAAGATAAAGCAGGACGTGTATGCTCTTTTACTTGAAGCCACTGGATTTCTGAAAGGCAGAAGTACCAAAAGTAAAGATAGCCTAGTCAATGAATGATGCCAAAATATATTCCTTCTTTACTTAAAAGGAGTGTCGTTATTTAAACATTTTGGATTCCGAATTCTTGTTGAAGCCTTAGAATATTCTTAGCTGATAAGAATTAAAATCTGTTTATCAAGAAATCTATAACACCAGCTTCTAGCTTTGCTCTTCTCTATGTTCTGCATCTCTTGACTAATGGTCAAGTTCTTTTAAGCTCTTACAAAATTATGTTGTGAATTTTCTACCACTGACTTCTGTTTTGATGGTCTGTATTTCAGATCCTAGACTGCGTACTAGGACATAATGAAGTACTATTTAGACGAGCTCAGTTAAAAGCTCTTGTTTCTATCCACAGTCAAGAGGTCAGTGTTGTATCCTTAATTTGCAGTACTAATAAGACTGTAGAACCAGTAGTTTATTATTATTTCTTGTTCATTTTGCTTTTTAGAAACCATGGTTTTAATGGGGAAGTTCTGCAGGCCGGCAAGGGAGGTGAACTTACACATGATGAAACAACAATCATTAGTGGAGCATTAGATTTAACTGAGAAGGTACGGACACTGAAGCTGTCTTACTGTTTCCATGCTTCTCCAGTACCAAGGTTTATGCACTAATATTTAATAATGCTTGGATTTTAAAACATCCTTGGTTTCTTGTTGAATCCTTTGTAGCTGTGAAAACACATCATGAGAAGAGATTTCAATTTTCAATTAGAATTTTTTGCCTAAATTATCAGTGTCCTGAGATTCATGGTTTAAGACAGACCTCTACTACCTATAATACTTACTCTTGGCCCTTTCTTTTGCTAGTTGAGCCGATAAGAATTAGTTGACTCTCTTTTTTTCTCCTCTTTCCTTTTTTTAATTTTGATAACCTTGATACATTAGTGTGATGACAGAGCTCTCTTTTGTTTGGCTTTTGTGTTGTTGATAGACTGCTAAGGAGGCCATGACACCCATTGAGTCAACATTTTCTTTGGATGTCAATTCAAAGCTGGACTGGTGAGATTGGTGCCATTATTCTTCCAAGATTTTGTATTACTCAAACCTAGTTTTCTGCTCTTCGAGTCTTGCAAAGCTTCTTTGATTCTGAAGTCATTAGTTCCAAGGCATGAGATTCTGTTATCAAGTATCTACACACCATTTTTACTTTACTTAAAGAGTGTTGGAGTAACAAGTGTTTTAACTGTTTTTCTTTTCCAATGTGACTGCAACTTATTATGATCTTGCGATTGATAAGTACTATCAAGGAAAAAGTTTTGCTATTTTTTATGCTAGATTGCCAAAGTTCAGCTGATGGCTAATTTCTTGTTAAAAGACTTTTATTTGTTCTATAGCTGAAGGAAAAATAATCAGCTGACACAACTGTTCCTTCACTCTTCGGAGACTCGCAATGAAACTTTTTAATCGTAGCATGCCATGATTTGATGTTTAAATCAGGTTAAGATTTGATGTTTAAATCAGGTTGTTGATAGGGTTTAGATTGAATGGTCACAGGCATGTGATATTGTGTTTAAATAGTACTGCACCATAGTTAACAAGGCAAAATTATCCTCTTCATGTTTTCCCTAATTTTCCTCTTCCTCTGGGCGGGGCTCTAAGGAATTTGAATTAAAGGCTAGCTCTTGCCAACTGAACCTTAGGTGTGACGTATGAACACCATTCGTATTTTCTTTCCAACAAAAGAAAATGTGAAGAAATTGACCTTGTGTCTAACTCAACCCAAAAGCTAGCTCATGAGGTGAGAATTACACATGACCATATAATGAGAGCAATCTCACATCCCACAACCAATATGGGACAACTTAACACCTACCAACTAGAGCATAGACAACATAATATGGGGCCCACATCGGGTTAACCAGAAATTGGACTGGGTCTGACTCTTACAATGTTTTTGACAGATGGACCTTGGGCCTAACTCAACCCCAAAAGTTAGCTCATGAGCTGAGAATTGCCAAGACCATATAAGGAGACTAATCCCAAATCCTCGATGTGTGACAACTTGACAAAAAGAAAAAATCCTCTTTCAGATGAGCTGTATATTGTGCTAACTTCTTGGTAGCTGTTTACAGAAGTTATATCAAACAAATATTTGTGCTTTCATTTATTATTGTGGCAGGGCTTAGCTCACTGTGCATGAATTGCTTGATAGAATAAGTTATAATTTTGTTTTTACTTCTCAATTCTCTATGCATATAAACTGAAAGCAGCTGTATATCTTGGATGTTAACCCTGGAAATATTTTCCAGATGAATTTTAGTAGTTCACTAATGGATCTTTTGAGTCCCTAATATAGGGAAGCAATGGGTAAAATTCTTGCTCGAGGTCATAGCCGAGTTCCAGTCTACTCAGGCAGTCCGAAGAATATTATTGGACTTTTACTGGTGAGTTTTGGATCTCACCTTCAGAGCACTTGTAATCTTGCTATTCCAGTAAAATTGTGATAGTTTTAATGTAATGTTAGGTAAAAAGTCTTCTTACTGTTCGCGCGGAAACCGAGACACCAGTTAGTGCTGTTTCTATCCGCAGAATTCCGCGGTATCAGCTTTTTACTCCTCTACTTGCTGCCTTCTAACATGTATATGAACTAGTTAAATCTTGTTTTCCAATCATCTTTTCAGAGTTCCAGCTGATATGCCACTATATGACATACTAAACGAGTTCCAAAAGGGTAGCAGTCATATGGCTGCAGTAGTGAAGCTTAAAGGGAAAACCAAAAAACCTCCATTGGTAGTTGAGGAAGAGAAATCTGACGACAGTGCAGTCACCAATGGACATCCTAGTGTAACTACCTCTCTTTTGATGGCAAAGGATGAAAAGTCAGATAGTGTCGTCGTTGATATTGAGAAGGCTACAGTACCGGCAGTGCAGTCATCTGGTGATGCTCTGATAAATGGATCGCATCAGTCGTCAGATGATATTGAGGATGCTGAAGTAATAGGTATTATCACTTTGGAAGATGTTTTTGAAGAACTTTTACAGGTGACCTTGGGTTCTTCTAGTTTCTTGTTACTTCTTTTACACATTTGACTAACTGATGGAAATTACATTCAAAAATTGTCATTGGTGCAGGAGGAAATAGTAGACGAGACTGACGAGTATGTTGATGTACATAAGAGGTGTGTGAGAGCTGGAAAACTTTTAGTTTCACCCACTCAATATAATGACTGTTATTGAAGAGCTGATTGTAGCTTTCTTCAAAATTTTGCAGGATACGTGTGGCTGCAGCAGCAGCAGCTTCATCAGTGGCACGAGCTCCATCAATTCGGAGGTTAACAGCCCAAAAGGGAGTCGTAAGTGCAAATTGTGTACACACTAGACAATATTCATTGATACATGGTGAATTATTTAAAAATTTAATGTTCAACATTATTATTTCTAGATACACAGTTGCAAAAAAAATAGATCCAGACTGTGGCATCATTTGATAGTAAACAACATACTTAGTGATTCCAAGCATATGGTTAGAGCTTTTCATAGGCACCTGCTTCATCTTGAATTATAACTAAAACTAGTCAAGTAGTTCTATGATAGGTATATTCCTCTCTTTTGAAGGAAAAAAAAAAACACAGAGCTATTTTGCAATTGTCAATAAAATGGCTTCTTGAAGTTAAGGAACTAGACAAACCACAGATAGTTGGTATCATGTATTTGTCATAGAATCACTATGAATAGGTCGATTCTGTGTGACCTCCCACCATTCACATTATGCTTTGCTTTTTGCAAGAACTGGCTTCTTGGTGGAGAAGTCACTCAAGGAATAAAAGGGAAACAAAACGAAAGAGTGGAGTATCAGATCGGGACCCTGAAATCATCAACTTGCAATAAATTCTTGCATTGCAGATTAGCAGCACATTCTGTTTCTAAATATATCCTTCAATAATACTTTAATTGTTCTTTTTGATTATGCATTCTTATATATCACCTTTGGGGGGAGGAGGGGACAAGTTTTAAGTGGCTTTACTGGTAATCTCTAAAGCACTTTTCCTCCTTGATATTTGCTTCTCCTTATAGATCATTACCTTGTGATCGTACTAATAATGGTGATGGGAGAGGGGAGTCCTATGTTTCTGCATTTGTGAATGAACTTTTCTGTTTTATTGTTTGCAAAAAGCTGATGCATAATAAATTACTGATGTTTTTAATTGGATTCAACAGGGAGGGCAAAGCAAGCAAGGACAAAACCCCAAAAAGTTTAGCGAGGACATTTCCAACTCAAGAAGGACGCAAGGGAGTCTTGGAGAGCCTCTTCTTGGGAACAAGAGATAAAGAGTCGTAGTTTGGTAGCCTCAGAGCCTCAGTAATGTTGAGAGGGCAAGGAACAAGTCTCACTGCAAGCTGATACATAGTTTTGTGAGTGCATATCTTTTATGTGAACTATGACTCCTTGTTGACAAAAGCCATGGTGTTTCTAGTTCGAATGAAAAAACTATTGTGTCTAGGCTGCATCTTCTTTGTGGTGTTAGTTGTAAGTTGATATCTAACATGAAATCCTCCAGAAATTTGCTTCTATGCACCTCCTTAATAATAAGGACAAGGTTCTTAAACGATTTAAATGGCGTCAACAAAGGAAGAGTTGAAGGCACTTAATGTTTTTTTTTTGGGTGAAATGTATAAGCGTACAAAGACAAAGGACAATTGAGTATTATATACTGTATATTCAATTGACTTTTTAATAATGAAAGCATCTATAATACTCAGCTGAGAAATATTGTTGGTATTTGTTGAATAATATTATATGCTTTTAATATTGGTAGGCATACTGATAGAAATAAACATGTATATTAATTTTCAGAAAATTAGGTTGACATCCATCATAATATTAAACAAGTTGTCAAAAAAGTTCTTCTTAATATGCATGACATCAAGATTATGCCGAAGAAGATTGTACTTCCAATAAGGTAACTTCCAGAATATGCTCTGCTTTAGTCCAGTTATGTGTAACACCATAACCACGTTTCTTATCAGACAAGGGATACTCTGTTACCTTATGTAGATCCCTAACTTTGTTCCCAATCTCTTCAGGAGACAAGACGGACGGTGGCTCCTCATAATCAATTTTGTTCTTCGTAAATGCACTAGTATTTCTCTTGAACTCATGATCCATTGGCAAGAAGTATCGATGACAGTCAAACCATGTGTTTTTAACTCCATGTTTCAAAGTGAATGCCTTTATATCTTCCATACAAGTCGGACAAGCTAATTTTTCGGCAGTTGACCACCCGGACATCATTCCATAAGCAAGAAAATCATTTATAGTCCACATCAAAGCAGCACGCAATATGAAGTTTTGCTTAGTTAATACATCATATGTTTCCACACCTTCATGCTACAACAACTTCAACTCATCAATCAAAGGCTGCATGTAAGCAATTAACATTTTTGGATTGCGTGGACCTGGAACAATACAAGTTAGAAGCAAATATGGACTTGTCATATATAACTCGGGTGGAAGATTATACGGCGTAGCAAACACCGTCCAACATGAATATGATGCAACAGAGACTGCAAATGGAGTGAATCCATCAGCGCATAATCCCAACCTAATGTTTCTTGGTTCATTAGTAAAGTCCAGGGACACCCTATCAAATGCTTTCATGCTTCTCCATTTGATGGATGACATAGAACACCATATGTCCTTCTATGCTCATAGTGTCATCTCATATGGGGAGCGGAGCTCATTGATGCGCACAACCTCTTTTACCTTGGTATACGGGGTAAGTAGTGCATCGCCTTCACTGGGATCTTCTTCTTTTTATCATTTATGACATCCTTGTAACGAGGCTTGTTACAAAATTTGCAATTCTCTAGAGATGCATCATCTTTATAGAATAACATGCAACCATTCTCACAACAATGCATCTTTTATGATTAAAGACCCAACTTGGAAACCAATTTTTTTGTCGTGTAGAAATCTTTGGGTAGGTCAATATTACTCGGATTAAGTTCATTAATAAGCCTAATGATAGAATTCATGCCCGCTTGAGAAATTGAACTATCTGACTTAATTTGAGGTAATCGAACAACAACAGACAATTTGGAATGCACTGAGCCTTCATACAACGGACAACTAGCTTCATCTAACTCTTTGAAAAATCGCTTAGCCTCCTCATTTGGTTCAGATTAAGCCCTTGGGAACATCTCAAAGGCATCCCTCATCATGTCACTGAATCTAGAATTTTCAACATTATTCTCCACTACAGGACTAACCTCCTCACCACCAAAAGAATTATAAAAATCAACATTATTTACACTATCAAGATTCTCCCCGTGAATAGTCCACATATAATAATTTTTTATAAATCCTTTTTTAAAAAGATGACATGTAACAACATCTTCTCCCAATAATTTAACAAACTTGCATTTCATACAAGGGCACCTAATCGTCCCTACAATACGAAAATCATCAAGTGTCCTTGCCTTAGCAATAAATCTAACAACTCCTTTAAATTCATCCCTTAACCCCACACGGTTGGGATGAATCCTATTATACATCCATCTACGATGTGCAAATACCATCTACACAAAGAAAAAAAATCTAGAAGTTGACATATTTATTTATTTATACTAGTTACTAAGTTAGATTCTCCCAAAGGTAATCTAAATAGTTTAAATATATATTTTACTATAATACTTGGGTGGTTTCAATATTAATAGATACATTAAACTATTATAAGACAAATAAGTCCTAAAACATCTAAATTAATCTAATTTATTTCAAATTAGCATACGATAGCGCTTTAATACTTAATTGACTGAATTTTCTTTATTTCGTTCCAATAATAAATAATTAACACATAGATAGGGCATGGAGAATTTCCAAACGAAGAGCCGGAAAAAAATACCCTAAAGCATTATAACTTTTTTCACAATTACACTCTTGCTATAAAGCTCTAGTACATTCTCATTTACACAAATAGTAAAATTCTAATACGAAAATTAACCCTAAACGTTTATTTGCGTCTAAGTATTACGACCCAATTTCCCCTCCGTTAGGTATCGTGATGGCACCTAGTCTTAGAGACTAGGTAAGCCTAACATTTACTGAATAACAACAATAATAAAGGAAATCTAACAGTCTCGATATAGAAATCTTTACAGAATTTATAATTTTCCAAAACCGGTAGTACAAGTCATAAGCTCCACAGAGTTTACTACAATTTTTTAAATATAATTGTTTGAAATAAAGTAAACAGTATGACTACAAAATAGGAAGGTGACTCCGAAGCCTGCGAACGCAGCGACAAGTTTACCTTGAGTCTCCTCAGTAAGGATCTGCACAACTACTAACGATCGATACCTGGATCTGCATAAAATGTGCAGAAGTGTAGTATGAGCACACCACAGCGGTGCCCAGTAAGTATCAAGACTAACCTCGGTGAAGTAGTGATGAGGACTAGTCAAGACACCCACTGGTCGAATAAACTAAACAAGCATAAGTGTAGGGATGGCAGAACATGACATCTATCTAAGGACCCCGCGATATGGCTAACGACGTAGCAACTACTATAAGGAAGAAAAACAGCGAAGTAACAGCGAAACACCAGAATAAGACACAGAAGAATGAACGAAAACACAACCCAAATCCGAAAATCACAATACAGTAAAGGCAAGTAGTAACTCAGCAGCTGCAATAGTTTTCCCATCAGGTCTCAGCCAACAAACCCCAATAAATTAGTCAAATCCTTGAAGTGTAAACTTTCACCTGTAAGTTTTTATTTTAAACTGAGATCTTTAGGATATAATCCTTTCCAACAAGAAATTATTTTTGAAATATACTTCCTTCAAATAAATATTTTTCAAACATAGTTCTTTCAAGATAAAAGCCTTTCAAATAATTAGCCTTCAAACATAGTTCTTTCAAGATAAATACTTTTCAAGTATAACTCTTTCAAATATATATCCTTCAAATATAGTTCCTTCAAGATAAATACTTTTCAAATATTACTTTTCAAGTAATATCCTTCGAGTATAAGTCACCCTATGACACTTAAGCATGGAAGATTAGCAGCTCCGAACACAGATATAACCACAGGGAAAATCTATCGAGATACCGTCTTGTAGTCCCGAATTAATTATGCAGTACGGGGGATCTTTCGGAATACGTCCGTAGTCCCAAAGTAAATATGCAAGATAGGGAGATCTCTCGGAATACGTCTGTAGTCCCAATTTAAATATGCAGGGCTGGGGATCTTCCGGAATACGTCCGTAGTCCCAAAATAAATATGCAGTGCTGGAGTATCTCCGGGAATACGTCCTAGTCCCAAAATAAATATGCAATATTGGGAGATCTCCCGGAATACGTCCGTAGTCCCAAAATAAATATGCAGCGCAAACAACAGAGATAACAACTATAACACGACAGAAAGCTCGTACATCACCACAACAAGTACAAAAGCAACAATGACATAAATGCAAAGTACGGCGAGCGAATCAACTCAAGAATTTAAATCACAAGAACGGTAGAATTCATTCACAAGGAATAACCACAGTAAAGAATGCTAGGCACAAGGAGAACAACTTAACAAGTGAAAACAAAACAAAAAATGTAGCAACGATTCCACATTCTTCAAGTCAACAATAAGAAGCCAACATGAGTCAAATGGTTCAAAATAAAGGCAAGTCAACTAAGATATAAGTTATCTAAACTCCTTTTGAGGTTGAGAAATTACGTGGGATATTCAACAATTCAAGTAAGGGTAAGCAGCAAAAGATAATCATAACTCCAATTAAGACTAAACAATTATAGAATGAGATAATAATAATTTCAATTAAAGATAAGAAATTATGAAAATATAGAATGACGATAGAGGAGGTAAAATCTTCAGTTAAGTCAAATCAGGATCAAGTAGACAGTAAGGATGAATCCTAAAGCAATTATCTCTAATCAAAGCATGTAGAGGTGAAACTAGCAAATAGGGACTCAATCGTATCAAGAACAACTTCATACACGGTGAATATAAGGACTTAAGAACCCTAAAAGGTCAACTTCCCACAAATAAGTCCGAGCACGCGCTCGTCACCTCGCGTACACAGACTACTATCAACATACACAGACTACAATCAACATAGATGACTCAAATCCTAAGGGGTAGTTTCTCTCACACAAGGTTAGGCAAGATACTTACCTTTTTTAAGTTAAGCCGATATTCCAAAAATCGCCTTCTTGCTTGAATTGACCTCCAAACACCTCAAATCTAACAAATTAATTCAATTCAATGAATACTAATTATAGAAATTAATTCCATACGAAAATACTAATTTTCTAACGAAATCCAAATTTATCTCAAAAATTTCCCATGGGGCCCACATCTCGAAATCCGATGAAACTCACAAAATCCGACAAACCATTCAATTACGAGTCCACCCATACCAATTTTATCAAATTCCAATATCGGATTGACCTTCAAATCTTCATTTTATATGTTTGGAAGATTTTACAAAAATCTGATTTTTCTTTTCATAAATTCATAGATTCATGATGTAAATGAGTATGGAATCATGAAATATAATCAATATAGGATAAGGAACACTTACCCCAAAGTTTACCCGTGAAAATCGCCCAAATATCGCCCAAACCGAGCTCCCCAACTCTATTTCTGTCAAAAATGGTCAAAAAACCCGTTTATAGAGCCTTTGGTGTTTTTGAGCGTCACAGGTAACGTGGGACGCTACCTGTGGCGCAGTTTCCAGTACCCAAAAATTCCCAGCGCCAGGGCTAGCGCCCCACGCTACCCTAGGAGCTCGCGACAACGGGAAATCTTTTCCGATACGAAAATGGGAGTAACTCTCTCATACGATGTCCGAATTCGATGATTCTATTTGCTATGGCTCCAAAATATCAAAACGGATCTAATGCTTCATTTAAAACGGAATTTGGGGCTCGTTTGATTAATGGGATACCACGTATTCTTGAAGAATCGATGTCGAAACATAGCTAATCAAGTCCGATTGACCTCAAATTTTGCATACAAGTCATAATACATCATATGAAGCTATTCGAGACTTCAAATAGTAGAGAGGAGAGTAATTACTCAAAAAGACAAGCCGGGTCGTTACATTCTCCCCCACTTAAACATATGTTCGTCCTCGAACGTGCCAAGAGTTTTTTTCCAAGCCATCAAATCACTATTCCATCTTACCGCGCGCATACCCAGGGGTGGTCCCACATCACCCTATTCGACATAAGCCCGACAACACCATCTCAATTGAGATTATTCCTTTTATCCATATTTGTAAACTTTAAGACTAAATTTCTTGTGCTTCAAATATTTTCAAAAGGCCTGATTTTTATATCAACGCATGGTATTAGTCTCAACTGGCTATAGCAATTCGTGCCTACGCACACATCAACTTTCTTGATAGTGTTGAGGTACTTCAAAATAATTTTGGGGTGTTACATTCTCCCCTGCTTAGGATCATTCGCCCTCAAACACATAACATAATTTATCTCTTCTTTTGCAAATCTCACTCCCCCAAGTTTTACTAACTCCCAAAGTTTTCAGAAATTTCGGTAGAGTCTCCCCTATAATTGGGTCTATCCACCTGCCAGAGTAACACCAAAACAACTCCTAACAACACCTTCACAACCCAATAAAATACCACATGGTATATATCCATAACATTAATATCAACATTACAAGCATTGCATTAACATAATGATATCAGGACATGAAGAACATCATATGTATGCTCATCGCCACATCTCTGGTCTTAATAGTTGTTCATAATCGATTACAACATCGCCAATTAACCTCATATTAACCAAAATCTCATTTCAACT